TGTCTCCTCCCTTCCCTCTCTCCTTTCCTCCTTCCCAGGTGGCTTTAACAAGTTTCAGACTGAATACTCGGAGCATTGTGAGACGAACCTTGACAGCTCCTCACCCAGCAACTCTCCCCCTGCATCAGTCCTTGGCCTGGGAGGGCTGCGGATAAGCTCCGACTGCTCGGATGGAGAATCTGACAGGGAACCCAGCAGTGCCACAGAGTCGGACGGGAGCCCTATCCCGAACAATCAGCCTGCCTTTCCAGTCCAGATCCTACCTTACCTGTACCTGGGCTGTGCCAAAGATTCGACCAACTTAGACGTCCTGGGCAAATACGGCATTAAATACATCCTGAATGTGACTCCCAACCTGCCAAACATGTTTGAGCACGATGGAGAGTTCAAGTACAAGCAGATCCCCATCTCAGATCACTGGAGCCAGAACCTCTCGCAGTTCTTTCCCGAGGCCATTGCTTTCATTGGTAGGTACTTGGCAGAACATCTCTTCTCCTACTCACTGCTTGGGAATGTGGCAAGCAGCTTCCCAGGGCTGCTGCTCGTCTCTGGCCTCACCTCTCTGGGGCACAGCATCAGCGCTAGCTTAGCAGCCGAGCGTCATGCTGCCAAGGTGACACTTCTGCTCCATGTCATCCTGGCTGGGTTCAGGGAGGCATCTCCTTCCAAAATTCAGCCCTCCTACAGCACCTCAGCTGGGTTACCTGCAAGTGGTAGGACCGGCCTTGCTGGACCCAGCCCTGCTGTTTCTTGCCCTTGTATGGGGATTTGCACTTGTGTGAAACGGCTGAGCCGAGGCGGTGGGGAGCTCCTTTGCCTGCTTGCTCAGAGGAATGAGTGTTGATGGGAGCTGCGTTAACATAACTGGTGCCAGTAATTCCTTATCCCCAAGTGTGGTTAAAATCGGGGGGGACGCGTGTTTTCTTTTCCCAAGAGGATTTGCTAGTCTCCTTGCGATCTCGCTGTAAGTTGCCCTAGCATAACTAACTCCTTGTATGGATACTTCTCCGAAGGTAAGTGTCAACACAACGAGTTAGTGATTATAATTCCGCTGCAGAGCTCAGCTGGAAAAACTGCTGGGCAGACAGCCCCTGAGACAGCTTTGGCTGGTCCTGGGGAGGGGCGCAGGGGGTAGATCTCTCCTCCCAGGCTAGCGTGGACTTTAAAAATTGCTTCTCACTTTGTGAGAAGTGTCTGTTGGGCTGAATAGGGATGTACATTTCCAGCATGGCCTGTGCTGTCTGCTGGTGATGGTCGTTAGCCTAATCAGTTCTGATTTATGGGACCTGAACAGCACAGGTAGTTATTGTCACTGTTAACCATTAAAAGCCTTATGTCTTCATATCGGGTTGAAAACATTGATATGGCTTACCAGTGCGGGCCTTTACCTTCAGACTGAAATCTCTTTCAGTGCTGTTTTGGACCCTGCTGCGTGCACTCAGTGGCTGTGCTGTAAGGTCTGAAACTTGGTAGAGCAGGTTGTTTGAGAGATCCTCCTTGTCTTTTTGGTCAGAAACCCTGGTTCCCACATGCTCTCCTTCGCCCCCAGCTTCTGTCCTCTGGTAACACCATTGCAGTCAGAAGCGGCTGCTTCAGTGTGGCAGCAGAGACCTGTCTGATTTCCCACTTTCATTCACATCCTGCAGGGAATGTGGTATTAAATGTCAGGGGTGAGGTACAGGGTCTCCACTGGCATGTGGCATTTGGGATCTGTCTGCTCCAGTCAGGCGATGTCTCTCTGAACACTGTGCTTGTGCTCTCCAGTTAATGACAGGAAATGGAGGATTACCTCACTCTAAAATTAAATACCAAGAAATGCAGCACGGGTCAGAGAAAAGGCAAAAATGTCTCAGAAAAATGTTTAATGGGGAGCAATGCAGGAAGGGCCGGGTATGCTGGGGGAAGATTGCCCACTGTACTGGAAGTTCTTGGTTGTGGAGGCTGGGGCATAATACCTGTTGTAGCTTGGGTCTGGATTTTGTTTTGCTGGTGTCTTCTTTGCCCTCACCTCCAGCTTTGCCCGAGGATCCTCTTTCTCCTGCCACCTTTTCCCTCCCTGCCAAGCTCTCGGTCAAGTGACTGACTTCAAATAGGGCTGCCCAGAAGTAAGCAGCGCTGGGTACTTGTGTGCATTCAGCGCTCTCAGCGGCGTGTCCCTCTTTCAGCACTAAGATGTCAATTCATAAAGGGATCACGCTGTTCTGGCTGTGCGGGAGACAATGAGTGTGTGTGTGCTTTTCAGTTGGTGGCAAGGGAGGGGAAATTTCGTCACTGTTCTCTCGCCATTTTTTTGGTGCAGCTTGCAACATCCTGAGAATCTCCTCCAACACAAGTGTTCGTTTGTAGTGAAGTGCGTTTCTGTCAATCCTAAAGAACAGTTTCACAATAAGGGAAGTTCCTGCACTTCAGGCTCTGCTAAAATTGGCTTTGATTACGTTCACGTAACTTTCTCACGGAAGGAAGAAGAGAACAGTGGAAGAGGGTGGCTTGTGCAGTGCTGGGCTGCAGCCTTGCGTGAAGTGCGCAGCCTAAGCCAGTTGGTTGGTGTTGAGGTGGCTGTGCTATCCCTGACCACCAGCATCTCCTTGGAGCTGCTGTCTCCAGCTCTGCCTGCCTTCTGTGGGTTACTCCATTTCTCTGCATACAGGGTACTGACCTCCCTAGGCAAGGGATGTGTTGCCAGGCTTGGTTAATACTGCTCAACCGCGTGAAACGCTTGGCCTTGCTGTGCAGAATGGGGAGGTGCAACTCTGCCATGCAGTGGGAATCTTTCAGGAGTCCTTTGGGGAGAGGTGTGGGTGTCCAAGGGACACGAGATGGTGTCACTAGGAGCAGGGCATCCAGTTCTGGCAGTTGTCCTGGTCCTGGGAGCTTGCAGCTGCCATCTGGCCCTGCTCCAAAGCCATGCGTTTTTGGTGCAGAATAATAGACTCCCCCTTCCCCTTGTCTTGTTTCAGATGAGGCCCGTTCCAAGAAGTGTGGGATCCTTGTTCACTGCCTCGCTGGCATCAGCCGGTCCGTAACAGTCACTGTCGCCTACTTGATGCAAAAACTCAACTTGTCCCTGAACGATGCCTATGACTTTGTGAAAAGGAAAAAATCCAACATTTCCCCTAACTTTAATTTCATGGGCCAGCTCCTGGACTTTGAGAGGACTCTGGGACTCAACAGCCCTTGCGACAACCGCTCGCCCAGTGAACAGCTCTACTTCACCACCCCCACCAACCACAACCTGTTTCAGCTGAACACGCTGGAGTCCACATGAAGGGGATGCTGCCTGGTTGGGAACTTGAGCATCAAATGGCTTCTCTTGAGCATTTCAACTCTTACAAAAGTCTCTGTCTTGCCAGGCAGCTCTGAAACGACCAGCTTCTCTGGGCAGAGGTGCCTTTAAGAAGGCTAATGCCGTTCTTTAGTATCCTGATCAAAGAGGTTTGAAGAGGTAGTCGCTTTACAGGGAGTTATTTAATTTGGGCGATGTTACAGCATTTTGAACGCAGCTGTTACCGGCAATAACCGCTTTCCTGGGCGCATCGGGACTGTCAGAGCACGCACACACGTGAAGAGCTACCAGGGGGTGAGCTTGCTGCGGAAAGTGAGGAGATTTATGCACTTGGAAACCTTGAACAAAAGGTGTTGGGCCAAGACTGTTTTAAAACCCAAGTTTACTTTTTTTGAATTTAAAAAAAAAAGTAGATCTTACCCGAGCTTTGGGTTCAGACTCTTTTTAAATGTGTAAGTTCCTGACTGTTTGTACAGACGAGGTTGCAAAACCAGTATTTTATTCTGTATCTTGTTTGATCATTTATTATTTTTTTTAATCAAATGTTTATATTGACCAAATGCATTTTGCACACTTTGTGAAGCCTTGGTATGTCCTGGCATATTACTGGGTACTCCAGAGAGAGATACATGCTGCTGCTGTTGTTGTTAGCATCTGGTAGGAAGCTTTATGTGTGAAGGCCAGTTGGTCTTAAATGCAACCCCTTCACCACTCCTGCACTCACAATCACAAACTCTGCACTGATTCAGCCAAGGTGACTAAGCCGCAAGCTTTTTTTTTAATGCCACCCCTGCCAAAAACACTGTTTGCTATTGCCAGAGGTGAAACTCTTGTAGCCTCCGGAGTTGGTAGAAGCATGTCTGAGCCCAGCTTCATTCTCTGCTGCCTGTTGACTCACTTAACGTCATCCAGCTGGCCCAAAACCATTCCAGCTTCCCCAGTACAGAAGGTAGTTGTGATCTTGGTGTTTCTCTTGCACACTTGATTTTCTTTTTTCCCCACGTGTGTGGGGTGGAGGGGGGAACACGGCAAGCGCCTGGAGCAGAGTGAGGATTGCGTAGCGGGACAGGACTCGATTGTGACGCGCGGAGCATGTGAGGGGAGCGAAGAGACGTGGAAGTGGTGACAAGAGCGTTGTAACAGATTTTTATATACATACACATATATATATGAATATATATATTGACTGGCAAATTCTGAGATTATTGGAGCTTTCAACGGAGGTTCTGATTTTGTTTTTTCTTCCTCTTTCGAGTAACTTTATGCCGTGCCTTCTATTCTGAGAAGACTTGTTTATATTTCTGGCTAGTGTTTGGCAAATACCTTATACCGAGCCGGGAGGAGGAGGAAGTGGTAATAATTTCTGGGAGGAGGGCAGAATGGATTTGGAGATTTCTTTATTGGCTGCAATGTAGTCCCTCCTTTCTCCCCCCTCCCTGTCCACTTTAACTCTCATGTAACTGAAAAAAAAAAAACAAACAGCCACGGATTTTTTCTAAATATCCAGTTTTTTGTACTTTTTTCAAGAAAAAGAAAAAAAACTTTAAAAAAGTCTCCTGCTGGAGGAATGTTTGACGCTGTCACATCCTGAAACTCTTTTTGTTAAAGACGTTGGAATGAGCTTATTTTTCTTGTTTTCTGGTTGTTTTTCGTTCGTTTGTTGGTTGGGTTTTGTTTGCAACAATGTTGGGATCATGGGGTCATTGGAAGGGAGAATGGGCGCAAGTACGGTTGTGAGTGAGAAAATGGAGAGTATCCTCTTTGCATCTTACCTCATGGAGGAATTTATTTTTTCAGGGATTTTTTGACAGTGCATCTGTATTGCATTACAGCTAAGCTGGTTTGTAAAGGCTTCCTGTGCTGTTAGTGGTCTTTCTTCTTTAAAGGAAAATTTAAAAAAAAAAAAGATGCATCTTCTGATCAGTACAAATGAGAGCTTGTTAGTGAGGAATGGTTCTGCTTTCTGAGTTATGAAGGAAAAATAGTGACCCTATATATACTGATCCAATATTGGGACTTTGTTTATATTGCAAATAAATATTATTTTTTCTTTAAAAGTGATGTTTGTGTCAGATGCTTGTCTAGCCTCTGCCCATATAAGGGCATGCTGCTCTTACCATTTTTTTTGTGGTCGATTAGTATTCTTCTGTGACCATGAAGAGCATTTGCTGGGTAGGGTTCAAGTGTGGTGTTTGGTTTCATGCACAGTTTAATTTTTAAGACCTGTGGTAAAATGGAGAGGGGGAGGTGGGAGGGCAAGGAGAGGGATATGGGGTATTGAATAAACCAGAGAACAAAGAACAGCTTGAGAATGGGCTCAGCTTTGACCCCAGCCATTCCTCAGCGCCTAAAATAAATAGATAAACTAAAGACACTTTTGTTCACTGTTTAAGCGTGGCCTACAAAGGCATGGCAAGGCCGTGCCCACAACTGTTGTGATAGCAGATGTTAGTGCAGTAGGAAAACAAGAAGTCATGGCTTGTGGGCAGCCACCTGATGACTGCTTATGCTCGCTCTCTGCGAGACCCCTCTCCTGCATCCTCAGGTAGGGGACCAAGCCCCCAGCTGCTGTGTTGTATATGGGCTGTGCTGTCCCCCGTGCTCCCCAGTCACGGGTGCAAGCAGTTTGTGGGAAACCTGGAGGGGCTGGTGAAGATGCTTCAGGGTGAAACATGGCTCCAAGCATCTGAGTGCAGCCCAGCTAAGGGAGCTGTGGCTCCCCGTGCCTCTGCTCATAGCTGGGCAGGACTGAGCAGCAGTGGGTTTGTCCCTGCAGCATTCCTTGTTTTAACCAAATGGCAAGAAATTAAATGACTACCTATTCAGTTGTTCAATTCATCAGAGTGAGTGTGTATACATGTTGTCTTGTTCTTCTGATCCTAGGGCCCACGCACCAGAGATGGCTAGTTTTATTCTAGAAGGAGCTCAGGCTGATGGGTGCAGGGTCAGTTGCAGAGCAGTGGAGGTAGAGGCTGGAGCAGGAGCCAAGGGAGTGTGTGCATGAGAATTTGTTCGTTTGCTCCTTGACTGCATGATGGGAATGTATATATTGATTCAGAGGTCTGTTTGTGGCTCAACAAATTAAAATCTACCTGATATGCAAGCGAAAGAAGACCTTTAGGTTTTCTCATGTAATTACATGGTAGAGTAGCTCTTGAGGAAGATACGAAACCATGCTGGAGGCTGGCTGTGCAGTGAAGGAGCGCAGAACAGCTTGTCAGGTGTATGGCTATATTTGCTCCCATCTAATTTCCTCTTCTAATTTTCTGCTAAGGTGTGGAGTAGGATATTAGCAGTTAGCAGGAGCTCTGGAAGCACATTTGCATGGTAGCTGAGTTACGGCTGACTGGAACAGCACAGCTATTTGTGATGGCCTCAGTGGAAGAGCTGGTGTGCAGGCAGCTCCCTTGGGGTACGTGGTCCTGGCAGATGCAAGGCTGTTTTGAGTGTCCTGCCACCGCTGCACTCAAAGCTCTGTTGCCAAAGGAAGGAGATGGCTCATCTGAAAACTGTCCTGCTACCTGCAAGTGCCTTTTTCTCCAGGACCTAAAGGAGCCTTTTCCAAGCTTTTTGGCCTCCACAGCAGGGAGCAGCCAGTCTGGCTGGTCCCCACCTGTCAGCGTTTTTTGCAAATGTCTTGCACAGTGCTTCTTGGCTCAGAGGATTTTCCTTGGAGACCTAATGTCCTGTAATTTAGTGAGGAGACAAGAACTGACATCAGGAAAGGGGCAATGCTGGAGAAACGGTTACAGAGAGAAAAGAGAACACGGGGGTCTGTCTCCACTCCCTTGCAGAGGCGGGCACGAGCACTAGCTGAGCATGGGAGCACAGGCCGAGTGAGAAAGCTGGTTATGTTCAGATTGGTGGAATTTGGCAAGGAGATACGCTTCCCACACGCAGCAGGGAGAAGCTCCTCGGTTAACCCACTGATTCCAGACAAGCTGCTTGTAAGGTGCTCTGTGGTGCTCCGCTCTACAAAGCCAGGTAATCTCCTGCTTGGGCACAGAGATGTGCTGTCCCTGGGTTTTCACTTGTATTGCCTGAGGGCTTGTGGCATCATGAGTGGGAATTTATCTTCCGTTTTTTTTTCTCTTTAATTTTCTTTTCAGGATGACTTTGTTTTAACTCTCATTTGAACTGTTAGAGGGGCCACAGGTCCCAGGTGCTCTCAAAATTTTTTCCCTCTGTTTCAAATCATGGTAAAAGTGCAAAGCTCTGAACACAGGTAGAGCTAAACTTCTGCTGTTCCCCACCAGGAAGCCAAGGTGGCTGATCCTGAACGGTTCCTCTGCGTGTCCCATCCCATCCTGCCTCCCTCCGTGCTGCCTGGCAGAGCCTGGCTGCTCGCCCCAGCTGGAGAGGGAAGGGCAAGGAGAGCAGGTATGTCCTGAGCAGGAGGGTGACTCTTTGGCATCTTGTGAAACAGGAGAGCAAAGAGTAGGTTCCCAGAGCAGTGCAATGAGGATTACTTGTGGTCATAGCCAACACAAAGGCAGGGGAGGCATGAAGGGATGATGGAAGCAGCATCAAGAGCCCAACAAGCAGGATATAAGCTCAGGGAAAGGGCTTTGGGGTTACTTGTAGCTTGCTTTCCCTTGCTTGTGTCTACCCTTGCCCCTCTTCTAGGCCCTTATTTCTCGGTGTGGCATTAAACACGCTCTGAGCATGATGCAAGTCAACCTCTGCTCTGCAGCTCTGAACTTGCCTGCTGTTGCGTCACCCAGAGACGCACGTGGGAAAGCAGAGTCTTCCTGCCACCATCTGAATTTGGGTGCTTATATTTCCAAGGTAACCAGGTTATTTGTGGGCTGTTTTCTTTTTTTATCCTTTATGTGAGCAAATCAGGCTATTTGCAGTGTTGTGAAGGCATGTAAATAATTCAGCTAATCAACATATCCCTATATTTACAGCTGACTGGCACAGCCTGTGATAGTCATGCTCTGGGCTGCTCGGAAAGTGTGTGAAAGTGGGCTTTCTTCCAGATTTAGTGCCATTTGCTCCTGTGCGTTCTCAAATCTTTCTCTTAATCATGCTTGAGGTCAGAGTGCTGGGCTGGCTAAATGCAACTTGAGATGCCAGGGTAGGTAATAAATGTTCAGCAGCTAGGGAGAGCAGCTCATGGGAATCCCACCCAGCCACCACGTCCTGTTCCTGTGAGTTCCTCTGTTCAAGCTACAAAGTACCCCTCTTTACTGGCTTGTATTTTGACTTTCTTGCTGTATTGCCCAGACACGGCTGTTTCCTGGGGGCCATGCTCAAATTTAAATAGTTTTTTCTGTTGCATCTGCCTTAAGTCGGTAGGAAACCGTGAGGCAGGGAGCGATATAGCGTTGGCCCTGCCACCCCACAGCTGCCGCTGTGTGCCCCTCCTCATCACAGCACGCCCCTTCC